GAAGGAGGAAAGTGAATGAGCGCTTAAGAAGGACAAAGAGGGAGGGGAGAGAAAGGGAGTTACCACCGTCTTGGCATCGCTCTCCCTTTCAAACCTCTGTGTAATGATATTGTTTGCAGTGATGCTCAGACAGCGAGCACCTGCTGCTCTGTAATGATTCAGCCTCTTTCAGCCGCCGCTGTAACACGACAGGATGCTGCTGCTACTGTCACTTCTGCCGCTGCCGCTGTTGTTACAGATTTTGCTTTTGCTCCTTCTACCGCATGACAATTGTTTTCCTCGTCTAAGCAGATACCAGCCTCAGATGCTCAAGGTGAGAGTCTTGCCTTTCGCTCTGGGCTATTGGTTCACTTAATCCGGTCAATTTGTTCGGTGTTCGCGGTTTTCTTTCTCTCACCACCCTCCTTCCCCATTTGTTTTGTTTTGCTTGCTTTTGGGGGGATCTTTCTTCCCTCGCACAGAAGAGCTGGAATTGCTTGAGAGGCACTTAAAGAATTATAAAAGTGGCCAGCAAACAGGAGCTCAATAATTGCAAAGCTACTCTTGCTTCAGAGAGGCAGAGAGAAACAGAGGGTTTGGGGGCAGGGGAGGCTGGGGGGTTGTCTCATTTTTCCTGTGCGTTACTCCTCTCCCAGTTTGGATGATGTTGCTGAGCTCGGACCTTTTACTGACTCACACTCTGTGATTTTTGCAGAGCACTGTGACTATTACTACCGTCTCTTTTTGTCTGTGTCTCACAGTAATGGACTGTGATAGAGTTAAGGCCTTTCGGAGGTGAGCTGTTTGAGAGCTGATGCTTAAACATGTCTGAAGTAGCTGCCGACACTTTCCCCAGCCCCTCAGCTCAGCTGAGCCCTGATGCGTCCCTCAACGGGCTGCCAGCTGAGGAGAGCATGCCAGGGACCCAAAGAGAGGACAGGAGGGTCCAGGGGATAGCAGGCCTTGCCGCAACCTGCTGTGTATGCCTGGAGGCAGAGCGACTGAAGGGCTGTCTCAACTCTGAAAAGATCTGCATCGCCCCTATCCTGGCTTGCCTGCTCAGCCTTTGCCTCTGCATTGCTGGCCTCAAGTGGGTCTTTGTTGACAAGATTTTTGAGTATGACTCTCCTACCCACCTTGACCCTGGGAGAATAGGACAAGACCCAAAGAGCGCTGTGGATCCTACAGCTCTGTCTGCCTGGGTGCCTTCGGAGGTGTATGCCTCACCCTTCCCTGTACCTAGCCCCAAGAGCAAGGCTGAAGTGACAGTGCAAAGTGACAGCTCGCTTGTGCCCTCCAAACCATTCCTCCAGCCTTCTCTGTATAACCGCATCCTAGATGTTGGGTTTTTGTCCTCTGCCGCACCTTCGCTGTCACCACCCGCCCTGGAGTCTACCACAGCGTCTCAGGCGCAAGCAACAGAAACCAATCTCCAAACTGCTCCAAAACTTTGTAAGTAGAAGCTATATATTTCTTTGTTTTTCCCTTCCACAAAAAAAAAACAAACCAAAACAAAACACAAAAAAAATCCCCACGGCAAAAAAAACCCAATAAAAGTGTTGTGGGGCTGTCCTCAAGGACATGTTCTTAGCGTGCAAAGCTTAAATGTGCTAAGACAAGTAAGGCATGGGTTACTTTTTGAGGAGAGTAGCTAGGAACCTCTGAACTTAGTCCTGAGGTGTGCATGGCAGTGAAGAGGGCTTCGTTTGGAACCTTTGTAAAGTGTCAGTACCACCCTCTTCTCTGCATCCGCTTGTAGGAAAGTATGTGATTTACTGCAAGGGTTTATCTGATAGCTATTCGACATCATCTGTCAGCATATTTTTCTTATAAATTTGACTTGCATCCTGTGCTGGATCTTTCATGTGTGTTCATTTTCTTTGCCTTGCCTGCAGAGCACTTCTGCTGCCTCTTTCCTAAAGTCACTTGCTGGCAAACATCCCTATAATGCTCCTGAAACACACAGGAAGAACAGTGGGAAAGAGAGACAGCGTATTTGAAGAACCTAGAGACTGGGAATTATTAATTTAGCAGTTAGCTTATGATCTTTCTCCCTCTAAGAGCACAGCACATTGCATCTTTACCCTCCTCTAGGAGCTGATTCTTGCTGAACCTGCTTCTCAGACATTCCCTCATTGACTGTTGTGGGGCATTTCAGGAAAGCATTCTTGCCGATACAGGAGGGGTCAGTTTCCAAATTAGTTTTTGCTTATCCTTAAAGAAAAAATATCTAGGGTAGCTGGATTATTTTCTTAGTAGTGATCATAAAGCATCAAAATACCACATTGCTGAAGTGTAATTTCTTTGACATTCATCATTTTAACCCATCAAGTCCAGAGCAGATCAAGCCAACCATTCCTGAGCTCTCTAAAATTGTGCAGCTCTAGTAAAAGAGAAGGCAGCACACCGTTGTGCTAAGATCACAGGGCTGAGATTTCCTTTGGAAAGCCACACTGGTCAGAAGAAACTGTGTTCCTTGCAAATTGCCTTGCAAGACCCCTTCTCATTTATTCTCCCTCGTACCTGCCCTGTAACGCTGCAGGATGGCTGTCATGTAGGTGGTGCATACTGGACCTCACCCTGAAGCCCTGAAGTCACTTAGAAGTTCGGTTAGCCCTGACAGGACTGGACTCAGTATAGATGTGTGACAGTGGGTCTAGATGTAACATTTTGGGCCAACCACCTTGCTGGCAAAAAAGGGCGTAACTACAGTGATTTCAGTGGAGGTCCTTTCAGCTGAGAGTCAGTTCCGAACAGCAGTTCCAGAATCACTGAAAAACAAATTTAGGTATTCCTGTAGAAGCCCTGCTGCCTTTTGCTTAGATAATGAGTGACAACCAGCCTTTGGATTAAAAGCAATTTGTCTGATGGAAACAGTCCGATAGGAAATATTGCTGTGCAGTTAAATGACTGGGGGCTTTGTCTGTGGTAGTTAAGACATTACTTACTACACAACAACCTTTGCAGTAGAACTATTGTAAGTGGGGTTTTTTTTGTGTCACTGATGCAGAAAATATTTTTTTGGGGAAATATTTTAAGTGGCATTAAAGATGTGACAGCACTTTTTACTTCATAAAGTGACCAGAGAACACCATCCAGTCAAAATGGCCTCTTCCATATGAAAGGGAGAAGCAACCAAAATCCAAGACAACCCTCATCATCCTGAATTTCTATGTGAGGCAACCCCTTATCAATAATGTGCTAACTTCATCTCTGAAGTAAATGAAGGGGGTGTGGACTGCTTTGGGAAAGTCACTGACAAAAAGCCATTATTCGCATTCAGATTTGCTCACATCTTGGAAATCAATGGTTGTCCAGAAATTAAGTGATTGGGTTGAGTTTTTGTGGTTTTTGGGGTTTTTTTACTGCTGCCTTAATTTTCTTAAGATAAATGTCTTCCAAGGCATCATAAATTTCCAGATAGATACAGACTGAAAAGAGTGGAAGAACTGGGTTTCTCTGAGGGAGAAGGTTGTGTAGACAGTGTTTATTCAAACTGCAGCACGTAATTCTGACTATGGCAAGTGGCTGCAATTCCCTGCAAAGAAAAATAAGAAAATATAGCTGGAAAAGTACACAGCAGAAGATCTGCCTAAGATTCAAAGAGGCATGAGAGAACTTTTTGGACAGCTCTAAAAGCACTGTCTTGGGGTTTTTGAAACAGCTGCATTTCAAACACATCATTGCGTTTTATGTAGAGCAAGATTTGTTGGAAGGGTTGACAGACTGCATCAGTGATAACTTTTTTTTGTGTATGAATGCCTTTGACAGCTATAAAACTCTCAGATAGATGGTTTGGAAAGTAGCATCTGCAAATTGGATTGTCTCTTCTTTTGCTTTTCAGTGTCCTATTTTTTTTTGATTTCAGGGAGAGTGAGGTAACTGGTTCCCAGAAAGCTCTTTTGTGCTGATTTTTTATTTTTTCCAGTGCAGAAATAAAAAGAACTGACACATCTCATATTCTCCGGTTGATGTATTGTTTCTGAACCAAGCCCTTCCATGGGTTTCAAAACCCTTTTCTCTTCTTCTCTCTTCTGTCTTGCTCAGCATATTCCCCTTAAAGCTGTATCCTTCAAGGTCGTAGTCTGCAGAGAGCTAATTGATTCTTCTTTCTCCTGGAGCCTGGGAGAGAAAGCAGAAGAGAGACAATCCTAGTAATTGTGTCTGCTGCATTAGATTCAAGACTGGTCTCACTCCTGTTATACGTTGTCCTTTATCAATACAGAAATAATCTCCTTTCTGTTTGCTAAACGTTTTGTACTGTAACATCATTTATCCTTTGCTGAAACAGAAAAGAAAGGTGTATGTTTTAAAGCATTCCAGTATTTAGGGAGTGTGTCAGTCTTAGCATAATTACACCAGAGAATATTTCATTAGAAAAGGGATATAAAAACCTAGAGTTTACCTCCCTCTGAGTAGACATGTAGATCATAAAAGTGCTAACATGGTTCAGGAGCTAAATTCTGTTTCTTCCTTCACTCTGTACCCAGGCTGGCAATAGATGTACCTCTGTAGTACTGTTAAAAGTGTGTTTCTATAATAACTGCACCCATACATCTGCAAAACAACCGCTCCCCTCTTTACAGGTCTTCCTACTGCCTTCTCTTTACATTTAAGCAGATTTCCCCCAAAACCACCTGCCAAGTTCTGTATAAGGTTGCCTTTCTGCAGTGACAGCTCTGTGAAAGGAGTGCAGTGCTCCTCCTGCCTTTTGGCTCTGCCCAGAAGTAGAGGTGCCACTTTCTGATCAGAACTCTCCTGATTTGGTGAGGTGCCACAGAGTGTACAAGAGACAGGGCTGAATATAGACTAGAGCAGGAGGATTTTGCTGGGGTGTTAGGAAAAAAAACACCCAGCAGAGATCAGGGTCCAGAAGATGCACATCCCCGGCAGCATATACATGCTGTCCCTGCATCCTTTCCACTTTTGGCTTCCCTGGCTACCTCACATGCTCTGCACTGCTGGGACAGCTGCACACCTCGTGCCACACTGGTGGGCAGCAGATGACTGCATCTCCTTACCTCTGCCCACCAAGTTGTGATGGCCACAACACACAGAGGTGTGTGGTGGGTGCAGCACCAGACCTGTGCATGCCCCCTGGGGGCAGGCAGGCCTCCCTCCTACCTCACCAGTGTTGGAACATATGGCAAAGCAGAGAAGGGGCTGTGGACTACTGCCAACCACCCCTGACCAGGACTGCTCCCTTCTTATGTTCCTGATTTCTGCTGCCACTTCAGGTGTGCTGAGCTAGCATCAGCAAAGGCTGCTGTTCTCTCATTCTCAGCAGAAAAAGTGTTAAAAGAGTGCCTCTGAGGACTGATAGCAGGTGTTTACTCAGGAAATGGTCTCAGTTCCCCTCCAGAGTTATCCAGGCACAGTGGCTGAATTTCTTGAGTCTTTTTAGAGCTAAGGATGGGAAAAATTAAAAGAAAACTGTTCCGTCTTTTGGTTTTGGTATCATACTGTAAATGTTTGGTGCAGTTTCTCTCCGCCTCTTTCACCTTGCTTGTTCTTTCTCAGCTCTGTATTCCGTGTCCTTTCTCCTATATGCAGTGATTAGTGAAGGTCCGTATTTTAGCTCTGTGGCAGGCTGGAGGGAACCTTTCCCTCCAGTTATAGGTGCTGCAGCTCAGCTGAAGTGTTCAGTTTATGGACAGTAAGGGTTTGTTCATAGCAGCTCCACACAGCGTTTGTTCTTTGTCTCTGAACAGCCTAATTCTGACCCATGCTCTGAAGTTTAAATCCCCATCACAATGCTATAGGGATGAGGCTATGCCTGGCAGCCTCTGAAAATGTCAAGGTCAGGGATGTCTCAGAGAGATGAAGAGGACTGTGCTCACAGGAGAGGAGAGATGTTACAGTGCGGGCTATATACCAGCCTCTTCTATGCTCACTGTTACGATTCAGGGCAGTACAATTAGGCAGATTGCTTTTTCCCCAGAGCTTAAAGATGCAGGGCGAAAGCACCTAAAAGCAGATGCTGTTCCATTTCTGATACAGTATTGATGGTGATCAGCTTCAGACACCTGACATAAGTGCCTACATTAGGAAGCTAGGCAGCCTTCAGCTTCCTGTTCAGCATAAACGAAGAGACCTTCCCCAGTTGGTTCCCAGCATGACTGTAGCAGAAGGAATTCTCTCTCTCCAATGGATATACAGGGAGACTAACCTTGAAATCCAACTTCTCAGTTAAATATCTGCTACACAATTATGAAAACTCATTTTGAAAGCTATGACTTTTCTTTGACATGTCCTGTGAATTAACAATGTCTTGTCATATCGAAGTTATAATTGATCAGAAGTTGTAATTGATAAGATATTGAAGTTATAATTGATAACCAGGAAAGTTCTGAGTCTAACTCAAAAGCCTAATAAAGAGATGCTGGCCTCAGTAGGTCGTGAGATGCAAATAGGCATCCTTTAACAAGCAGCAATAAAGCAAGTGCCACTGTACTGAGCC